GATCCGTTCCTGCTAGCCACAGAAGCTGCTCTCTCTATTATATTGATGGTGGTCAAGTTGTTTCTGTCATATTCCTGTCTGGGTCTTCTGTCATTCGGTTGGGGGTTATATATCACTACTACTATAATTTTCTGTCCTCCAGTTGCTTAGTTGCTATATGTAGTCACTGAAACCTTCACAGTTCTGAATTACCATCTCTTCGAAACTCCAACCTTCCCTTAGTAGCAAAGTACATCATCTCCTCCTCTCCCTTCTCTCTCTTTCCTCACTACATAGTAGTCCTGTGGAAACACTGCGTTTGTTATGATTTTCGTTAACTTTGTTTCTGTGAGTGCTATTATGTCAGGGTTTTCTTCTAGTGCCCATTCTCCAAGTTCACTTGTTTTATTTGAAATCCCATCTATGTTAGTGTACATCGCCTTGAAGCTCACTTTCTTCTGTTCATTTTCATGTCCCTTTCTTGGCGAGCATTCTGCTGGTGTGGGAAGCTGTTCCGTGGGTGAGAGGATCTGTGAGGTGGTTTGCAGGGTCTCAGAGGATTTTGGGATGGGGGTGGGGGTTTAAGGGAAGGGGGGACAGGTATTGTGGGGGTTAAGGAGATAGGGGGGACATGGAAGATACGGGGTGAGGGGGGAGGAGGGATAGGGAGGGTATGGGATGAAGGGGGAGGGGGGATAGGGGGGGAAAGGTGGGAGGGGGAACATGATGGGAATGGGGAAGGGGTGTCAGGGTCAGAATGGGGTGGGGGGGGAGGGAGGGTTGGGTGGGGGCAGGTGTGTGTGTGTGTGTGTGTGTGTGTGTGTGTGTGTGTGTGTGTGTGTGTGTGTGTGTTTTGCATGTGCATGCGTGTGTGCGTTCATACGTACGTGCGTGTGCGTGCGTGTGTCGCGAGGGTCCTGTAAGTGTCAACTTCTACCTGGAATGAGCCACTTTGAATTTTTAACTATATATGATATACTGAACAAGAATTTGATAATATTTTACCTCACTCTGTACACCAGAATAATTGACCAGAGAGGGGTACCTACCAGTCAGCCTCCTGCTCACACAACCAGGTGAATAAGGACGATGTCTGGATGACGAGGTGATCCGTCGTCTCCTCCCACATGGTGATTCACTAAGTTCCAGTAGATTGATGATGGCGGTTCTTCTCTATCTAACACAAAGCTCTGGAGTCAGGAGATGTGTTGCATCATCTTGCACCAGACTCTGGCTTGCTGGACCTCCACTTGATGAACTCTGCTGTTGCAGGATTTTGAGGATTTGGTCCTGAGTCGTCTTAATCTGGCAGAGGGCTTTCTCAAGTTCCGTTTGTTTTTTGCAATATTTGGTGGACGACTGAGTGAGCTTGTATCATATGGTCTAATATTGCGTTGACACAAGCCAGAGTGACGGTCTCCTGGGGGTCAGGATGGTGGCCGGCTCTTTGGGAAGTGGTGTTGGATGGAGTGCTTGGAAGGGAAGGGGAGGTAGATGGGAGACGGTGGAGAGGTCTTGTTCATTGGTACGGGGGGGGAGGGTGGCACCATGGGTAGGGTTTGAAGTGTGGGTGGGTGGGTTCCTGGCAAGGGAAAGAGGTGGGGTAGACCTCAGGGATAGGGAAGTGGTGGTGGTGATCTACACTGCTCATGCCAATGCCCCAGGCCTGATTGCCCTCCTAACCCTGGGTTCCTCTATTTACTGATTCACCTGGAACCTGAATCGGCTAATGTGTTGGGCAATGCCAAATAGGTCTCATTCTGCAATATCGATTCCAGGCATAGTGGGATTGCTTGAAGTTGACACATTTGGGTGTTTCAGGGACACCATCATTAGTCTTTTCCAGACATAGTTTAGTGTCGTGAAAGCTGTGCAACACCCTCACCTAATTTGGCCATCACATTGCCAGGTTCTGTGGATCTTCCGTTGGCATTTGCTGCATAAGAACGAGCTGCCAGATATATAGTTCCACTCTGCATGGCCCTATGCCCGGTACTGTAATCACGGAGCAATTGCTTGATTTTTTTGGCACTCTCCCAGGTCCCATGTTGCTCTTGGCCCAGATGGTCTGGGGAAGCTCTTGAATATACCTAACATCAGCATGAATACTGTAGTTCTTAATAATTTTGGTCCGTCTAATCTATTGACTTGCTTTCAACAGCTTTAAACTCTTACCTTCATACGCCTGCTCATTCTCTGTGATGAACTTCATGGCTCTGTCTCCACCCACCCGTACAATGACGCTGCTACCTGCAAATTTGCTCTTAATGCGGTGTTCTTTGTGGGTACGGGCAGCCTAGATGATCCATTTAAACTTATCTGCTGATCTTATGTTTGTTTCAGAGAAGATTATGGTGTGTCATTCACTACCATCGGCTTGTTGTAACTGTCATCGTTGTTGTTGTTGAATATTTGAATAAAATATCTCCAAAGTTAGATGATCCAGTACTGTAATCCTCATGCTGAGTTCATTACGTTCAATTCAACACTGAATCACAACTCTTCTATTTACCTTAATATGTTATTGACACTTTCATTATCCTGTGATCTAAGACTCTGAACAATGAACATGATCTTGAAATGTGTCAAACATTTTTTTTTTTGCAGGGATATTCCTGCGCGGGCCCTAAGCCTCTGGTTGGCCCACTAAGTGTTGCTTGTTTCTGTTTTACTTGGGCGGAGTATGAGTATTTAAGACTCGTATGGTCGCTTCAGGAAGATTTTGCCATATGTGTTTAACAACTTCTTCTGATCTGTGGAATCTAAGTTGAAATCTTAATGGGTTTGTAACTGTGCACTGTGTTAAATAATGTTCCAGTGGTCTGTCGGGCATTTCTCCACAGTGTTGACATTTCCACTCATCTTCCGGAGCCTGTAAGCCTATTTCCCATACACATGGGTATCCAAGCCTGATGCGATGTAAGTGTACTTCTGCTGCTCTACTGCTCCCTTTCATCAAACTAAGGGGTTCGTAGTTGGTTGAATTTTTGTACCAACCCGCAGACCCTGATGTTGCAACTGCTGTGTTGTGGTCACTGTACATCTTTTGCGTTTGAGTGTTTACATTAATGATATGACATTTGTGATCAGATGTATGTTATCACATATGTGTTCTTGTTGCAAGGTTTCAATGGCGGTTCTCGAATCTGTATGTATGATAACATGTTGTCGGTGATGTGTCAAACGTTCTCTCAAGGGCTGAACATCTGCACTCCCCAAACATAAATACCCACGAAGTTATTTGTACTTTTATCTTAACTTAAGCTATTTATTTTAACGTTATACATTATATTTTACTGTTCACAATGATCTCCATAATGACCTTATCTTGCATGTGTTTGTCCAGCTACGGAAGGAGGCAAATTGCCGGTACTGATTGTTGACGGTAAGACGCTGCCCCAGTCACTGGCCATCGCTCGCTTCGCTGCCAAGAAAGCCGGACTCGTGCCGGAAGATGACCTGGAAGCTGCTTTTTGTGACGCTCTTGCCGACACTGCCTTCGAACTGTTAATGGAGGCACACAGCATTTGGCACGGAGGGTATATTGCCTTTTATTGCCTTTAAAAATGTCAAGAGTTGTGAAGTTAGGCTGGCTGAGGTTCACAAACTGTTGAGCCGAACTGTGCAGAGCTGGTAGTTGTACTCAATGTTTGTGGTGGGGTAGGAAGTAGGTAGCGGCAGAGAGTGGGTGGGAGTAGGGAATAAGAGGAAGTGGGTGGGGTAGAGAGAGTGGGTTGCGGCAGGGAGTGAGCGGGAGTGGGTAGAGATAGGAAGTGGGTGAAGGTAAGGAGTGAGGGATAGATGGGGGTAGGAAGTGATGCAGATTGGGTGGGAGTAGGGAGTGAGGGGGGGAGTGGGTGGGGTAGAGAGTGAGGGGGAGTGGGTGGTGGTAAGGAGTGAGTGAGATTGTATGGGAGTAGGAAGTGAGGGGAAGCGGGTGAGGAGAGGGAGTGAGAGTGAATAGGTGGAGGTTGGGAGAGGGTTGGGGTTAGGAGTTAAAGGGAGAGGTCGGGGGTAGGGAGGGAGGGGGAGTGGGTGGGGTAGGTAGTGAGGTGGAGTGGGTTGGGGTAGGTAGTGAGGGGGGGTAGGGAGTGAAGGGGGTAGTGGGTGGGGATAGGGAGTGAGGGGGGTAGTGGGTGGGGGTAGAGAGTGGGAAGAGTGGGTGGGGGGTAGGTAGTGGGTGGGGGTAGAGAGAGAGTATGAGTTGATGGGAATAGGAAGGGAGGGGGTTGGTGAGAGTACGGAGTGAGGGAGATTAGGTGAGAGTAGGGAATTGATGGGTGTAGGGAATGAGGGGATGGGCGGGGGTTTGGAATGAGGGAGAAGTAGGAGGGATTAGGGAGTGGGAGGGGTTAGGGAGATCATTTGTTGGGGCCACGTTAGCAACACAAATACAAACAAGCTTGAATGATTCCCAAGCATATATGCAACCGAAAAGTCTGGGTTCGAATCCTTCTGGGGTGTGGAGTTTTCGGTTGTATATTGGCTTGTGAACCATTCAGGCTGTTTTACATTTGTGTTGCTCACGTGGCCCTAACAAATAAGGTGATTTAATGAAATATCTGTGACCAAGTTGACCACCAAACACTGTCACTGTCGGGTGTTGGAGAAATCGTCCACGACTACCAACACTTTTGAACAGTCAGTTGTGGTCTAGCGGCTAAAGTACTTGATACGCCATAGTGCATTGTGCTCCTCTCTGTCTGGGTTTAAATCCTTCTAGGGTGTGCATATTGGCTTGGGAACCATTCACGTTTGTTCGCAAATATAAATAAATGAATAAATGGTCAACTATGCAAGGTCCGATTTGTCTAATAAGCCAAGTTTCCTGAATTTATATATTTTTCTAACTTTTTTCTTATAAAATGATAAAGCTATCCATTTCATTTCATATGAGTTCATTTTGTTTAATTTAAGTTTAAACTAACGTAGATATATAACCTAACCTAACCTAACTTATCTTACCCAAACCTAAACTAACATAACTAAGTCAATAATTTATGTTCCTAGTATAATATAATAATAATAATAATTCAAATACACCAATTGAATTTTTTTGGGGGAAATAAAGAAAATCAATCGGCCTAATAGGCAAATCGAGCCTTGCATAGTAGGCCGAGAAGTGCGTTCTGGCTACTAGGTACGACATATATATATATATATATATATATATATATATATATATATATATATATATATATATATATATATATATATATATATATAAAGTATATTTTGGTAGCAGTCTTTCCTGTAGACATATATTATTAAATATGACCGAAAAAGTAAGATTAATAATTCTAACACGAATTTTCTCAATCTTTCGTACATTACGCTTCACTGTTGGAGGTAAATCAAAAATCACTTCTCCAAAATTCATTTTTATTTCTAGTCTGACGCGACACGGGCGCGTTTCGTAAAACTTATTACATTTTCAAAGACTTCACAAATACACAACTGATTAGAACTTACGTCTCTCTGATATTATATCTACATTTGAGTGAGGTGGGAAGGGTGATGTGGCATTAACACAAGACAGAACAGGAGGGGATATTAATAGGGTATTAAAAGTATCAACACAAGACAGAACAGAAACAATGGGTATTGAATAGAAGTGTTTGTAGAAAGCCTATTGGTCCAAACCAATAGGCTTTCTACAAACACTTCTATTCAATACCCATTGTTTCTGTTCTGTCTTGTGTTGATACTTTTAATACCCTATTAATATCCCCTCCTGTTCTGTCTTGTGTTAATGCCACATCACCCTTCCCACCTCACTCAAATGTAGATATAATATCAGAGAGACGTAAGTTCTAATCAGTTGTGTATTTGTGAAGTCTTTGAAAATGTAATAAGTTTTACGAAACGCGCCCGTGTCGCGTCAGACTAGAAATAAAAATGAATTTTGGAGAAGTGATTTTTGATTTACCTCCAACAGTGAAGCGTAATGTACGAAAGATTGAGAAAATTCGTGTTAGAATTATTAATCTTACTTTTTCGGTCATATTTAATAATATATATATATATATATATATATATATATATATATATATATATATATATATATATATATATATATATATATATATATATATATATATATATATATATATATATATATATATATATATATATATATATATATATATATATATATATATATATATATATATATATATGTCGTACCTAATAGCCAGAACGCACTTCTCAGCCTACTATTCAAGGCCCGATTTGCCTAATAAGCCAAGTTTTCATGAATTAATGTTTTTTCGTCTACCTAACCTACCTAACCTAACCTAACCTAGCTTTTTTTGGCTACCTAACCTAACCTTACCTATAAATATAGGTTAGGTTAGGTTAGGGAGGGTTGGTTAGGTTCGGTCATATATCTACGTTAATTTTAACTCCAATAAAAAAAATTGACCTCATACATAGAGAAAAGGGTTGCTTTATCATTTCATAAGAAAAAAATTATAGTAAATATATTAATTCAGGAAAACTTGGCTTATTAGGCAAATCGGGCCTTGAATAGTAGGCTGAGAAGTGAGTTCTGGCTACTAGGTACGACATATATATATATATATATATATATATATATATATATATATATATATATATATATATATATATATATATATCGTACCTAGTAGCCAGAACTCACTTCTCAGCCTACTATGCGAGGCCCGATTTGCCTAATAAGCCAAGTTTTACTGAATTAATATATTTTCTCTAATTTTTTTCTTATGAACTGATAAAGCTACCCATTTCATTATGTATGAGGTCAGTTTTTTTTTATTGGAGTTAAAATTAACGTAGATATATGACCGAACCTAACCAACCCTACCTAACCTAACCTAACCTATCTTTATAGGTTAGGTTAGGTTAGGTAGCCGAAAACGTTAGGTTAGGTTGGGTTAGGTAGGTTAGGTTGTCGAAAAAACATTAATTCATGAAAACTAGGCTTATTAGGCAAATCGGGCCATGCATAGTAGGCTGAGAAGTGAGTTCTGGCTACTAGGTACGACATATATATATATATATATATATATATATATATATATATATATATATATATATATATATATATATATATATATATATATATATATATATATTATTAAGTAAAACAAATAATGCTTGGTGTGGCAGGTTCCCAGGCAAGAGTGACGAGCAGAAGCAGCTGAAGGATAATTACTTCTCTAACAACATTGATCCCTTCATGACGCGCCTTGAAAAGCGGCTGAGCGAGAAACAATGGTTTGTCTCTGATAAGGTGAGTACCCACCACAGGTATACTCTCTTTCTTATTTTAGGTAAAGTACCTGGGGTTTACCGCCCACAGGTATACTCTCTACCTTAGTTTGGGTAAGGTCAGTACCTACCACAAGTTACTTTACCTTAGTTTAGGTAAAGTACCTGTGGTTTACCTACCACAGGTATACTCTCTACATTAGTTTAAGTAAGGTCCGTACCCACTACAGGTATACTCTGTGCCTTAATTTAGGTAAGGATCGTAACCACTACAGGTATACTCTGTGCCTTAGTTTAGGTAAAGTCCGTACCCACTACAGGTATACTCTGTGCCTTAGTTTAGGTAAGGTCTGTTCCCACTACAGGTATACTCTGTGCCTTAGTTTATAGGTAAGGTCAGGACCCACTACAGGTATACTCTGTGCCTTAGATTAGGGATGTTAGTTACATTTTCTACCATAGTTTTCCTGCGTTATGGAAAAAGAGGAAAATGTTAACACTGAAACCATATATAAAAACGGAATTAAATCACTCTATTGAAAGAAAAATCAACATATAGAATCAAGGAGTAATCCTGTCAAAAACCTTACCTCTAAAGAGCACAATAAAGTAATTGTCACGACTGCAAGAAAAATGACAGGTTGGATTATAAGGACCGTTCAAACAGGTCATGCCATACCAATGATACTTTTCAAGACACGATCGAGTGCTCTCTAGGGTGGAATATTGTTGCACATCGACATCCTCATTCAGAGGCAGAGAAATGGCTGACCTGGAGAGCGTACAAAGATCATTTACTGCTAGGATCCACTCTATAAGTCATCTAAATTATTGGGACCGATTAAAAGTTCTAAATCTGTATTCTCTAGAGCGCAGACAAGAGATACATAATAATCAATACGTGGAATATTTTAAAGGGACTGGCTCCAAATCTGAATACGGTGATTACATCACATCAAAACCAGAAGGCATGGCAGGATGTGTAAAATACCCTCGTTGAAAAGCAGAGGTGCAATACGTACTCTGAGAGAGAACTCTATCAACAACGGAGGCCCGAGACTGTTCAACACTCTACCACTACACATAAGGACCATATCTCGCCGGCCTCTCACTGTCTTTAAGCGAAAACTCGACAAACACCTCCAAGTAATATCTGATCAACCAGGCTGTGATTCATACGGCAGGCTGCGAGCAGCCGGTATCCAACAGCCAGGTTGACCAGACGACCAACCGGGAGTCCTGGTCGGAGACCGGGCCACGGGGCCATTGATCCCGGAACCATCAAAAGGTAGCCACAAGGTAGGTATGTAAGGTCAGTACCTGCCACAGGTATACTCTGTGCCTTAGTCTAGGTAAGGTCAGCCCCCACCACAAGGTACTCTCTACGTTAGTAAAGGTTAAGGTCATCACCCATTACAGGTATACTCTGTATCCTCGTTTAGGTAAAGAAAAATTCTTATGAAATGATTAAGCTTCCATTATATTATAAATGATTTTTGTTATTAATTTTAATTAAAAACTAACGATGAAATAGGACCAAATCTAACCTACATAAGCTATCTTAACTTACCCTAACCTAACATTAACTAAAATAACTAAGTCAGTAATTCATGTTCTTAATATAATATACTAATATTAATTGAAGTAACTCAAATGGAATTTTTTTTAAGTGGGGGTTGGCGACTTAAAGACTTATCAGGGTAAAGTGCCTAGCCATTACGACTATATAGAACTGGGAAGGCTCTGGATAAGGAATTGGGATGGGACAGTGGGAAGAAATTGTGCTCAACCACTTGGACGGTCGGGTATTGAACGCCGACCTGCATGTAGCGAGACCGTCGATCTACCCTCCAGTCCAAATGGTTAGGCTTGAGGGGCGGTGGAGAAATAAAGAAAATCACTCTGCCTATTTGGCAAGTCGGGCCTTGCATAGTAGGCCGAGAAGTGCGTTCTGGCTACTAGGTACGATATATATATATATATATATATATATATATATATATATATATATATATATATATATATATATATATATATATATATATATATATATTGTACTTAGTAGCCAGAACGCACTTCTCGGCTGACTATGCAAGGCCCGATTTCCCTAATAGGATACTGGGTTTTTGGAGCTTACAGTCCCCAAGTGGGCACTTGAAGGCATAGACGACGTTAGTCTCTTTTAAAGCGTTCTGTTTTGTGTCTGGAGTGTTTCTCATGAGTAGGCTGGCCGTTTTTCTGGTTTTATAGTAAATCGTCAGTTGTATCCTCTGATTTTTGTCTGTAGGGATAACGTTTCTATTAACAATATCTTTCAGGACCCTTTCCTCCGTTTTATGAGCTGTGGAAAAGAAGTTCCTGTAAAATAGTCTAATAGGGGGTATAGGTGTTGTGTTAGTTGTCTCTTCAGAGGTTGCATGGCTTTTCACTTTCCTTCTTATGATGTCTTCGATGAAACCATTGGAGAAGCCGTTATTGACTAGGACCTGCCTTACCCTACAGAGTTCTTCGTCGACTTGCTTCCATTCTGAGCTGTGGCTGAGAGCACGGTCGACGTATGCGTTAACAACACTCCTCTTGTACCTGTCAGGGCAGTCGCTGTTGGCATTAAGGCACATTCCTATGTTTGTTTCCTTAGTGTAGACTGCAGTGTGGAAACCTCCGCCCTTTTCCATGACTGTTACATCTAGAAAAGGCAGCTTCCCATCCTTTTCCGTCTCGTAAGTGAAACGCAGCACGGAACTCTGCTCAAATGCCTCCTTCAGCTCCTGCAGATGTCTGACATCAGGTACCTGTGTAAAAATGTCGTCAACATACCTGCAGTATATGGCCGGTTTCAAGTTCATGTCGACTAAGACTTTTTGCTCGATGGTACCCATGTAGAAGTTTGCAAACAGGACACCTAGGAGAGAACCCATGGCGACCCCATCTACTTGCTTATACATGTGCCCATCCGGGCTCAAGAAGGGTGCCTCTTTAGTACAAGCTTGGAGTAGTTTCCTCAGAATACTTTCTGGCATGTCAAGAGGAGTACAGGCTGGATCACGATACACTCTGTCGGCTATCATTCCGATTGTCTCGTCCACAGGTACGTTGGTAAACAGCGATTCTACGTCCAACGAGGCTCTTATCCCTGTGGCCCATGTGCCCCGCAGTAAGTCCACAAATTCCTTTGGAGACTTCAGGCTGAAGGCGCAAGGAACATAAGGAGTCAGCAGGCCGTTGAGTCGCTTCGCCAGTCTGTACGTGGGTGTGGGTATCTGGCTAATGATTGGCCGAAGTGGGTTTCCAGGCTTGTGCGTCTTGACATTTCCATATGCATATCCAGGTTTATATTCCCCAATGATCTTTGGCAGGTGGAGTCCGGATTTCTTGGCGTTCACAGTTTCGATCAGTTTGTTGACCTTTGCTTTTAATTCGGCTGTAGTGTCCTTCATTACCCTTTGGAACTTAGTTTGGTCAGAGAGTATGATGTTCATTTCCTTTATATATATATATATATATATATATATATATATATATATATATATATATATATATATATATATATATATATATATATATATATATATATATATATGATGTATCCATTACGCTATACTTCAAAGCCATAAAGAGAGGTAGGAATTCTGGGGTATTTAACCAACCAGAATTCCAATCCTCTCCCAGGCGATGAGATAGTGTGGGACCTCGGATATATATATATATATATATAAATAAATATATATTTATATATATATATGCAATTGACAATCACAAAACACTGATCATTTTATGCGGAAAATCCACAGAGTAATATGAAATGAGGTGAACGTTTCGGCTTTGTTAAAGCCTTTGTCAACACCAGACTGACTAAGGAGAAGATTGATTGATGATTGACGAAGATTAAGCCACCCAAAATGTGGCACGGGCATGAATAGCCCGTAAGTGGTGGCCCTTTTAAGCCATTACCAGTATCAAGAGCTGATACTGGAGATCTGTGGAGGTGCGAATGCACCCTGCATGACGGGAGATGTCTCCCTTATGAATGTGTTAAGATGAAGATGAAGCAACCCAAAAGGTGGCACGGGCATAAATAGCCCGTAAGTGGTGGCCATTTTAAGCCATTACCAGTATCAAGAACTGATACTGGAGATCTGTGGAGGTGCGAATGCACCCTGCATGACGGGAGATGTCTCCCTTGTGAATGAGTTAAGATGACGATGAAGCCACCCAAAAGGTGGCACGGGCATAAATAGCCCGTAAGTGGTGGCCATTTTAAGCTATTACCAGTATCAGGAGCTGATACTGGAGATCTGTGGAGGTGCGAATGCACCCTGCATGACGGTCTCCCTTGTGAATGTGTTAAAGATGAAGATGAAGCCACCCAAAAGGTGGCACAGGCATGAATAGCTCGTAAGTGGTGGCCCTTTTGAGCCATCACCAGTATTAATAGATGATACTGGAGATCTGTGGAGGTGCGACTGAACCCTGCGTGACGGGAGATGTCTCCCGGACCAAATGGTGACCAGATGGTGGGGTAAGGAGAAGGGAGAAGGGGGAGGATATATAGGCCGACACCTGACCAACCCATCCCTAGGGTTGGTCAGGTGTAATTAACCAATAACAGGTATAGCTTAGCTTAGAATGGTCAAAGAGGATTAAGCGGTCAGAGAATAAGGATGAAAGATTAAAGAAAAGCCTCATGAACACACAATATATGAATATACAATTATAATGAGACATTGTAAGCCTCTCTATCAGAGTTGTTTCTTAAATTGTTGTGCAATATTATAACTTAAAAATGGATCAAGTTTGTACATTCCAGTACTAACATTAAGAAGATTTGGACACTGACTGATTAGAGCAGACTCAATTAAATTCCGTTCCACGAAATCCTCACAATTGGTAATGCTTTTTGCCCCATTCCAGTTAATATTGTGATCGCATAAACTCGTATGTAGATACAATGCATTAGACGTTTGGGCAGTTCTAATACTA